AAGAAGTACACAGCTGGGACATGGCGACGGAGAGGATGAATGGAAGTGGAAGTAGACCCCGCACAGGCACCCCGCACCCCGCGTTCGCACCGACAGCCAACCCCGGCCTCGAATCGGGCTTCTCGGGATGGAGACGGAGCGCAAAACAGCGCAAAAATGGCGTGTCGCGCAACCGCCAACCGCCGCATGCACGCGCCTCGCGTTGGCAGTGTTGGCAAGCCCAAATAAAGAAAGAAGGAAGGAAGGAGAGAAAGACAAGGGGAACCGCGTAAGGGCACCACAGGACGCGCAAAGACCGCCAACAAAAAAGGAAGGAGGAGGAAATAACACTCACGCGCTGGCGCCGGTTCTACACAAACAAAAAAGATAAAGAGGTGGTTAGTAACGCGTTTTGGGCAACGAAGAAAGCAAAGTGAAAAGGAATGAACAGTGTGAGCGGACGCGTGGTGCAGGAGCGGGCCCGGGGTATCGAGGGTATCGAGGGTATCGAGGGACACCGACACGGATGCAGCACGAGCCAGCGTAGAGCTCTCAGGCGCACAACGCGCGCCATCCACAACGTCGCGCCCACCCATCGTCCCCCCGGGATCCACGCCGTCGCGCCCACGCCCACGCCCGTCGTCCGTCCGGGATCCGCGCCCGCCACGAGATGTTTGCCTCCCGAACTCAAACCGGCGGGCGGCGAGGGTAGGGTACGCATCTTATCTGTCCGGTGCAAGCGTCCAGTCCAACCCGGGGTAGGTATGTACGGGCCGCCCGGAACACGGAGGACGGAAGACGGAAGACGGGAGGACGGTGCGTGCGTGCGTGCGTGGAACGGTAAAGTGGGAAGGGGAGGAAGGCGAAGGACGAATGACGAAAGAGCAAGAGGATAAAAGCAGGAGAGAAGGAGACTCACGTAGTGGTTCGGCTGTTAAGAAACGAACGAGGAGTAGTCAGTACAGTGCAATGAAATAAGACGACAAGAAAGACGGAGGGAATGCACGAGTGTCTCGGGCGCGAGAGGCAGAAAACGCCAAAGCGCTCGTTCGGGCAGTCATATGTGACAGGGCGCGGGGCGCGGGGCGCGGGGCGCGGGGCGCGAGGGACGTCGCACTGCTCGCGAGTGGCGCCAACGTTGTCCGCGGCGCCTCGTATCGCGAAGCGGGCCGCAGCCGATATGCACGGACGCGGACGGGAGCGCAGAAGGCGCAGCCGAGCGAGGTGGGGAACCGAGATCATGGGATGGGGGACGATGGATGCGGGGACGTCCGCCGTGCCAGGGAGATGCATGCGCGAATTGACGTCGATGATGAATCGATGCGCGCGCACCATGGAACGAAGGGATGCAAAAGAAAGACAGCAAGACGAACTCACCTCTCGCCCAAGGCAACTCGCTCTCGTCGTCGTCGTCCCCGTCCTCCGCGCCCTCTTCACCCTCCGCGATAACACCCCCTCCATTCATTCCATTCACCCCGTTACCATTCCCATTCGCGGAACGAGGCCCACCCCATCCACCCTCCCCCTCGAAATCAATCCCCAGCCGCTCCTCGCCAATGTCGACGCTGAGACTGAGACTCGGGGGGGCGCGCGCGGCGACCTGCGCCTGGTACGCCTGCGCGGGCGTCAGACCCTGTGCGTCCGCGGCGGGGGGGTACGCTGCCGGTGGCGGGGCTGGCGAGTGTGCATATTGTCCGTGTTGTCCGTGTGCGTATTGAGCTTGTGGAGGAGGCAGGTGCGACTGCGACGCATGAGGCGCATAGACGGGCCCGGCGCCAGGCGGCGGGGGGTGCATCGCCATGGAGCGGACACTGGGCGCGCGCAGCGAGGGGGTGCTCCCGCCATACTGCTGATAGCCGCCCCTGGCAGGGTACCCGTACGCCGGAGGGGGAGCGGGTGCGTACTGCTGGTACTGGGGATGATACTGCTGCTGCTGTTGGGGATACACTTGTTGTTGTTGTTGGTGATACTGCTGGGGCGGGCGTTGGGCGTGGGGCGGGGGTGCGTGGGTTTGTGGTCGTCGGCCGAAGATGTCCTCGTAGGCGGCGTGGCGCTCGGGGGGCTGGCTGCGGGGGCCCAGTGGGCGGTCCATTGGGACCAAGGTGGGGAGCACAGAGTCCGGTTACGTGATTAGTCCCCGTCAATGCGTCACAACAACTTCACCTTGGACTTTACTACAACAACTTGGACAGCTGGACAACGTAGCTGACTATCGGCCACTGAACCGCACTCGCGATATTTCCCGACACTCCGATACCGTCCATCCGGCTGAAATTCGACAATGACACTCGCGGTTTTACTCAGCGGTGTATCAGTGGTGTAGTATCCTGCGTCGTTCATCATCCCCACTGGCTTGCGTTATTTGCTGGCTCAACAACGCTCCTCAACCAGTAATTAGTCAACTCTGTCGCTGCCGAATCGACGTTGGGCACGCCTAGATGCGTTGTCTCGGCGGCCCTCCACCGTTCGATATCGTCGGCGCGAGGAGACCACTAAGTACTACTTCGCAAACCATCTCCTCTATCCGTGATCCGAATGCCTGTGCCCCCGAAGCCGCCGAAGCCGGCGCACAAGTCCATCCCTCCGCGCATCAGTGGTGTATGGGACCTGGCGGCCTTCATGCTCGTGGCGTACCTTCCCGGCCTTAATCCGTCCTTCATCTCCACCGCCCAACTCGTTCGACGCATCTGCACCGTCCAAGTCGTTCGACATCTTCCAGTGACCGAGCGCGCCTTCAAGTACAAATCGACCTCCTCCCGCTCTCGGCCTGGCGCGGTGCCTTGCTACAGCAGCACATCGCTCGTCCTTGATGATCCTACCTGCCTGTGTCCCTGACTCCCGACATCGAGCTTCGAATTCCTCTCAGCATCGCAGGCAGGCAGTCATGAATTCCGCCGCTAGGCCTTAGTCCTGGAGCATCGGGTAGTACACCCCTCCGTCCACGTCCAACTCATCTCGCCATCCTTATTCCGGCGCAGCGTTAACTGCTGCTCTCTACCCAACCATGTGCACGTAGCGCAATTCTCGACGCGCCAAGTCCACGACCCCTATCGGCCTTAGCACATTTATCTGCCCCCTACTACTCAATCCCTTAAATGTACGGCTGCATCGCATCAGTGGGGTAGTGGTAACCTGGGTCGTTGCCACCTGTCGATTTCATAAGTGAATTCGACCCGCCGGGGGTTCGATTCCCCCCTGATGCATAATTCCTAGGTCTTGGACCTTTTTTTTTTGTCAAACTGTGTTTTCGCAATTGGCCAAACTCTTTGTGTATTTTCTGTTTCTTTCTTCCCGCCCGCTGGGGAGGTTATTAGGTTTAGGCCGCTATCGAGTTCACTCCAGTTTCTGTTTCTTTGCTTCCTCAGTCACACCTCCGACCTACCTGCCAAACCGATCCTATCCTAATATCGGGAACCTTTAAGCACCTCTTGACTAGTATATCGGTTTAGTACAGCCGCTTGTCATAAAGGAAAGGAAATCAATAAGCTATACGCGGCAGAGCTGGGTTCGACTCCCAGGTCGAGAGTTCCTTTTTGCTTTTTCACCCATCATTGACTGGGGTTTGTAATTTAAATTGCTTTTGTGCGGGGGGGTTGAGAAGAAAGAGGGGGAGAAAGAGGGGAAGGGGGGAGGAGGAGGTATAATGTGCACATTTCTGAACACTACACTCGAACACCGGTGAAGTTCGGTTTGGTGTTACTGTTCAAAGTTTGAGCACCCACAATATTGATGATGGATAATCCATTCGTTCGGTCTTTGTCATAGCCTTGCCAGTCAGAAATAACGTTGAAATCAATAGAATCCGTGAAAGCCGGAGCACCACGCTTTAAGATCTTCTGTGTTACTGTATCAACTGGACTTTGAGAGCCTCGGGCATCTCGGGCATCACGGTGTGTCCATTGCGGTGGAGCTCAGATGGCCTTTTTTCAACCGAGTCCTATATACCCCTAAAGCTCCTCTATTGCTGTATATACTTGTTCTTCGACAGCTATGAATCTCACTTTCTGGTGCAGATGTTGTAAATTGTTATTGATGTCCTACAAATTGCCTCTTCCGATGTAGTCTCTCCTAGACAGACGCTACAACATATACTTCCTCGTACCTCGGCTTGTTGTAGTCTGTTGGTAAGCGCGGGGGTCCGATCGGGTCAGAAAGTTATGACCAATCTTTGGTGGCTGTACATCACGTCACCACGCTTATCACCCCGGCTCCTGACACCGGGAGCCATAGCGCATTCCATTCTCGCTCGTTTCCTGCGAGGTTTGTTGAGAATAAGAAGTTTAATACATGTGGGACTAATATGCACACTATCCGAAGCTATCCGAAGCCGGTCCATCAAGACTAGGGATAAATGGTTGAGTTGGCGTGCTTGTGACGGAAAAATGAATATATTAACTCTTCAAGGGCCCTAAAGGGAGTTAGGCATCTTGGGGGTCGCTTATACGCGTGAATATGCAGGCCGGAGGCAGTGAGGGAGCCAGAAGACGCGTCGAGACGCGGTGGTAAGCGTGATGACGTGAAGCACAGCCACAAAAGATTGGTCATAAGATCCTGACCCGATCGGAGCCCGGTGATAAAAACAGGACTACTTCCGATGAGTTCAAATGGTCAGTTTTGAAGCTCGCTTTGCTAATCTTAAATCTAGTGTAGGTCAGTCAAATGGTCAATTTTGAAGCTCACTTTGCTAATTTGTTAAATTCAGTGTAGGTCAGTCAACTGAGCATTCTGAGCGCTTTAACTAAAGCCCAGAAGCTCAGCCTAAGCTGGGCTTTGGCCATCACTTGTCAAAATGACGTGATCACTCGTTTCAAAAGTGTGGTGCTCCGGGTTCCCAACGGTTGAAAAAAAAATCTTGTACTGCAAATTAAGCCATCCCTCTCGTCCACTGCCAAGTCCACGCCCCCTATCGGCCTTAGCACATTTTTCTGGCCCGCACTACATTTTTGTGGACACGAGGCTAGACAATGGTACTACCCACCTTCCCCTGCCCTCTCTATCCATCAAGCCCACCTTACCACATGGCATCAGTGGGGTAGTGGTAACCTGGGTCGTTGCCATAATCGGGTGTAAAGCATAACTCGACCCGCCGGGGGTTCGATTCCCCCCTGATGCATGTGTTTCGATGTCTTGTTTTTTTCTCAACGTTCCACTCCGCCATCTGAGGCTTTTTCGTACTTTTATATCCTTCTGCGCTTTACTCCGAAGCCATGTCAAGGTAAATTCGATTTTTCCGACATTGCATAACATTCATTCATTGAAAACGCTCGTCAAACCCGGTTCTGCATTGACATCCCTTTGTTTTGAGGCTGGAATATCTCCCTCTTAGCTCAGTTGGTAGAGCGCGTCACTAGTAAGATGGTACGAAATGACGAGGTCAGTCGTTCAAATCGGCTAGCGGGAATAAGGCATCAGTGCTCATTTTTTCCGTTTTCCTGATAATCACAATCATCTCTTTGATTCGAGCATCTAAATACCGACGCAACCTCAAGTGACACTGCCAAATGCATGGCATGCTCGAGCCCCAGGCTATTGCTCATCACGTTTAACTCAGAGACTGAAGGGCTCTTTAATCCCAACTTGAACGGTTTTCCAGCGGAACAACATCAAACGGACAATCATCCACCCATCAAAATAATTTTCTATCAATCATAGTACACAAAGCTGTGAAGAACAGCAAGGGCAGTGTCTTCATCCTCATCACTTCCACCCTTGAAGCTTCCCTTCATGCCACAACTGCGCCGCTGGCCCACTCCTCAAAGTATCTACAGTCACTGGTCGGATAGCACTCCCATCGGTCCTAGTTTCCCAATTCATGCCGTCGCCAAGCCATTATCCAAGTTCCTTTATCATCGACAAGCAGCGGGAATTATTGCGAAGAATGGGGACTCGCCACTCTCAGCGGATATGATGGAGGTCATGGGGACCTACCTCACGTTTGTTCTCACATTATTTGCAAGCCATAGGCCCATTTTTTTCAGGTTCAAGGACATCTTCCCGTCAACGAGAGTGCTCGTTCTCGGTCATCTTATCGTCCGAGCGGAAGGATCACCCAGGGATGCACAAGTTATTGTGGATTTTAATGTTCCCGGCTCGGTCCCAGAGCTACTTCTGGCACCAAACCGTGACATTCACTCCGCAACTTCCACCCTGTTCCGAGTTCTTGCCCACGACGATAACTTGAAGCACACAATATGCTCACAGCTAATTTCAGTGTTCAAGTAAGTTACTTCCTAGATGTGAACCTCTGCCTAATCGGTCCAACAGTCACGGGAATCTCTCGGTGCAGAGAGCTGCTGTGGACACTCTAAATGATTTACATATGGTTGTGACATTATTGCACCTTCTTATGTGGGTCGGCATACTAACACATTTGGTTGGGGACTGATGTTGTCCTTCAGATCCCCAAATATAGAGACTACCCTGCAGACTCACATCCTGGCTGCTCTCATAGACCAGGCAAGGGAGGGATACATTTAGTGACTAGGAAGCTGGCCACACTAGGAAGCTGGCTATAGGGCAAATATAGGACTCTAGAGTGTGTAATATCTTCCTTTCATATTTCCACAATGAAATATGAACCATTGCGCACCTTAAGACCAAATTTCAACCCAAAGTGATAAGTTGATCCAAAGCTGTGCCCGGATTGATTGCGGTCCGGAGGGTGAGAACACCATTTTGATAACCCCGAGCGAGTGTTTCGCTTGTTTCTCAACCAATACGCAGTGGATCCGGGACTTTGGGGGCTTATTATTTTGGTTTGATGTGGGACTCTCTTTTGAGCATACAGGACCTGGCAGATACCCTGCCCTGCATCCCCAAATTCACCAACACACCGGGAACAGGAATTCAACATTTGCAAACTGAAATTTGAGATAGCAATGCACTCTTGCAGGGTACAATTCCGATGCCTTGTAGTATCCATGCTAATGGCTTAACCTTTTATATCCTCAATAGCGCGACACCTTAATGCTTCCTCATCCCTCCTGATACGCACTTCAATAGAAAATCACCTGTTTAGCCCCCAAAAAAAGATTAAATGTCGGGTTCTCAACAGAATACCTCCAAGCTAGAGATATGTGTCCAGGTTGATCCATTAGGTTCCAATAGATCTGCCTGTGAGTTATTTTGGCTTCAAGTCTGTTGCCACTCGCGTACCAACCCAATTTAGGATGAAAGTGCAGATCCCGCCACCAAGGCCTGTATAAAATATCGCCGCTACGCCACTTCTGCATGGTCGAATGTATGACAGAAGGACCCAAAATGCGTTATATGGATCCCATATACACCGCTCACAATGGTCCGGCCCCTTATTCTTTATGACCAATGAGCTTTCAAGGGTGGCCAGGTTCCATGTCAATTGCCTGTTCGGGAAATCCTTGAAAACTAAATTCGCTGAGCATGCAAATCGGCACTGAAATCATCGCAAATATGCTCAGTCTCTTCGCAGGATCCACGCCTATTTCATAGGGTCCACAAACCTGGCAGAAGCTCCCGTGGTACATCGGTATTGGGCCCAAATGCCTTAGGTGGCCAGGTTCCCGGCGGGATATAGTATGGGCAACTGCTTTTGGAGTGTGATATTCTGCGAGATTGTGCTTCCACATTGCTCCAATCGGCGGATCCTAGGATTCTGGAATACCTTTGCACTATTTTCCTCCATATTTCTCAACTAGAGGGTCCAAAAGCCATCGATAACCTTGGACTCAATATGCAGTTGATCAAACTGTCAACGTTGGTCCTTTTGCTCATGACAATCCAACTCCAAGTACTCATAACCTCGGTGACAGGCATCCAGATATGAAGGTTCAACTGGTGGCCATTCGTCTCGTCGACCGCCTCGAGTCGTCGCGGGCTTGGAATCATTTTTGACAGTTCTGGCTGAACTGTACTATATCATGCACATAGATTATGGTGGGCTCATCACGATGATCAGTGAAGTTAAAGTTGCCCAAAGCTACATACTAGAGATTCCGTGCTCATATTAGACCACCCGGAGGTTCAATTCCGATCTTTCTTACCTGCAGAAGGAGTATGTCAGGAGAATTTTTAAAAAATGGAAAGTTCGACCTAATATGTTTCCCACGGTTGAATTCTGAACGTTCAACAATCATTGTTCAGTGTTCAAGCCACGAAAGTAGGATAAATGCCTCTCCTAGAGCCCATCACACTTTGTAGTCATTTAATTGTCCACAAAGTTGACTTTTGCGTTCAAGGACAACCAATTTCCACCGTTTTAAAAATATCAATAACTAGTAAGCTTACTCGATGGAAGGGCGCGGCTGATTCATTGTCGCATCTTGAATTAGTTCAATATGGAGCTGTCGCCCGCGAGTGTTGCTATCATTTTGGGCGTGTCGCACGGGCGTCGCTCTCATGGTCAGCGAACAAATTTGAATGGTATGAAGCAGCAGTGGATCACAACGAGACTTCCATCGGATTTCTTTGCCACTCACTGCCTGGACACCGCTCTTTCCTTGTCGATGGGGCAGACACTCAGCTTTCTATTCAAGTTCTTGGGCGACCAAATATTTGCCAAACTCCCGGAGACCCATGCCGACTTGACGGGGCGCACATTCCTAGTCACTGGGAGCAAAACTTGAATTGGGCTCGGCCTTGCTACCCATCTTGCGCGTTTACAGCCGGCACAGTTCATCCTTGCCGTCCGTGACTTGAATAAAGGGGAGGCGGCAAAGGAAGCCATTATCACGCAGACGGGGTTCCAAGGTTCGCTCGAGGTCTGGGAGCTCGACATGGCAGATTTTGCCAGCGTCAGGCAGTTTGCAGAGCACGCGAATACGACCTTGAAGCGGTTGGACGGCGTAAACTTGAATGCGAGAATCAATGTTTGGAAGTGGGGAGTGACGGTCGATGGATGGGAGAGAACGTGAATATATTCTGCTTCATATCCATCGCCGTTTTCAACCACACCTTCTAGATTACAAATTAACGCTCTTGCCACTGGCCTCTTAGCGGTTCTACTGTTACCTTTGCTTCAGGCTACGGCGAGACTTCCACAAACTGGCACATCTAGGACGCACCGCATCTGACCATTACCGGTTCCTCGGGTACGAATGCATGGATTTGCCTTTATTTTCCTGCTCAGCGGCTCGACCAGGTATGTTTGTGGCCGATTTTCCGGAAAAATCGGAACAGAAAATTGCGAACTTGTCCCAAGCAAATGGCGTCGTGGTCAAGCATGTCCGGTTTTGAAATGTTCGTCCCAAACGCTCATTCCTATTTGAGTGTCGTCGACCCGGGTCTCTGTACCAGTGAAATTGGAAGGGACCTCGGGCTTCCGTGGTTTGTTTGTAACCTTATTTCTTCCTCTTTTCTATTCGGAAATAATTCGGTTTGCAGATGGATGATTGACAAGATATCTTGGACCGCTGAGCACGGCACCCTAAACTTGTTGTACGCGATTCTTCTCCCCACACCGCCGGGCGACTTTATTGCTGCATGCGCCGCGACCCCGTCTGTCATTTATTTCCATCTGAAATATATTGATTGCTGATACGTGTCTCTCAGGCCTCCATCGTGGACTCTAACCAAAGCAGGATTAGACGTCCAGGGGAAGGTATGGTCGGAAATGGTGCGACTATGGAAATGGATTGCGCCAGAGGTTTCAGGGATCGTCGCTGTTTAGGTCATACTTCACTACCGTTCTCAGTACTTGGGACTTTCTACAAATAAAAGGTGCCGTAAGTTGAACCGTGGGAAACGGCGATCATTCTTGGTTGTTCGAACTTGGCAAGCTTCGTACTCAGGTTCAAACACGCTGTATTGTATGATTTGTTTGGAGTAGAGTTAAAAAATGCCAGCATTTCTGCGCGAGGGGCTCCAATGAACACTAGCCACTGTGATAATTCTACAAAGTACATGGTGTATTTTCCTTCGACTTTTATCATCGCGCCTTGAGTGAAATCTGGCCATGGAAGAAAATACTACCAATAGGTGCGGAATTTAAATTACAACTACAGTATACTGTAACATTGTTACTTCCGGGCGACTCGGAACCTGGTGTGATGTAAAGCCTCGTTTCGCTGGGGAACTGTCGCCGAGAAGTGCATATTAAGTCTTCCCCGGTGTTCTTGCTTCAGTATCTGTTGATTGAAT